CCTAAAGGTAACCCATCAAAGTCATGGTCTTTTGGCTAAATTCTTGATCAGTCATCAAAGAGATGTATGGAATGCCTTGAACAACAATCTCATCCCGATTAAGTACACTTTGAATGAATGAAGCATATCATAAAGTTATACCTTAACCTGATTCCCTCAGAGAAAATATTCTACTAGCAATGTAGTACGACCAGTCAACTCTTTTCTTATTTTTCAGCAAATAAACCAATGCACCTCAGCTTGGTCAACTCTCAAATAACCTCCATTCTTAGGACGGAGAATATGAGCTACAATCCACTCTAGAACCTTGTCAATCGGCTTCAACCGGCCGATAGTAACAGATTTAGGAAACAAATCACTAGCAACAATATCTTCAGGATAGGGAACCTTCAACATTGAATTCAAAGCAGATTTGAATTCATAGTCCGGAGCCAAATTGGTGTCGGTTATGGTTAAATGAGGAGATTCAACATGATACATACTAAACAACTCATCCCAAACTTTATCATCAACATTTAAGCTCTTACCACTAATCTTGTAACCGAAATCAAAATCATGAAATTTGCCATGTATACTGGTATAAAACAAATTGACCAAGTCTTCATTATATTTTGTATCACATTTTAAGAACTCATAAGACTGTTGAAAATCAAGCAATTCAACAATTTCTGGAATGTGCATGTGTTCAGCCAGTTTCGGATAATACACAAATTGCTTGATAACTGATCTTTTACTAAAATTCTTCTCATAAGTTGCAGCCAGTTCATCAGAAAGTAAGGAAATAACATTTACCGGAACGTTAGACTGAGGTTGTGAAGTACCTGCCCGAGAAGTGGAAACTTGAGTGGACCTCTTTCTTGTTGCTCTTGAAGAAGCCATGAAACTCTGATTTTGTAAGTAATGAACAGTACCCGAGTGGAGATTGGTGATGAGAAACCAAATTCTATACTTATTTTTAACTTGAAGTTTCTGATTTGAGAGAGATTTGGAAATGGGTTTTAGGGTTTGTAAAGAAATTTGAGAGAGTGTTAGTGAAGAGAAATGAGATGAAAAGATGTAAATGATGATGATAATGAAAATATGAAATGAGAAGGCACATTGAATGATCTTAAGTTCCCAAGAAAAGCAGTTACGCTTCATTTTCCAAGGAAAAATTATGAGTTTTGCAGTGTTGGGTTGACCTAAGCCTAGGATGCGTCGATGCATGCAGGTTCGAAACTCAAAATTCTGAAGCTTACAGGATGAGTTGACACATATAGACCTGAATCAAACATTGTTGAATTTGGAAGAACGGGAGTCGAACCTATGCCCTGTTATGGTCGACGCATGCAGTGCAAACGTGGAAAAAATGAAGAAAAACATGTTATGTATGCATCACACAAAATAAATAACAAGCCCACACATACTTCAAACATAAAGATGGATTAAAAGTGGGTTCAAACAATCAAATAAAGATCAAGATAACACAAATCATAATACAATTTCATATATATATATATATATATATATATATATATATATATATATATATATATATATATATATATATATATATATATATATATATATATATATATATATATATATGATCAAAATAAGTCAAATAGATAGGAACGATATTACCTCCAATGAAGATGAACGATGAATGCCCTCATGTAGCTTGCGCGTTTCAATTTAGTTAAACAAAGTATAGACAAACATGGATTTATAGCATATAGCTATTCAATTTAAAAGCGATCCGATATCGAGAATGCCAAGTTCTATACGGATGTTGAAGAAAGGTTCTGTTGCAAGTGGTTGTGTAAAAATGTCGGCAAGTTGATTCTTGTTATCAACATGCCCGAATACAACATTACCTTTCTCTACATGATCCCTAAAGAAATGATGACGGATTTCAATATGTTTCGTGCGTGAATATAGTATAAGATTTTTGGTTAAGTTAATGACACTTATATTGTCACAAAAAATTGGAATATGTTCAAGTTTAACATTGAAGTCAATTAATTTTTACTTAGATTTGGGCACAACAACTACCAGCTGCAATGTACTCCGCCTCGGATATTGACAAAGCAACAAAAACTTGCTTTTTGCTATGCCAACTCACTAATGAATTTAAGAAGAAATGATAAGTGCCACTAGTTCTCTTTCTATCCGATTTGCAACCGGCAAAGTCAGAATCAGAATAGCCAACCAAAGTACAATCACTTCCCTTAGAAAACTAAAGCCCATACTTGGGAGTACCACATAGGTATCTAAGTACGTGCTTGATGGCCTTTAAACGTGATTCCTTGGGACATTATTGATACCTAGAACACATACATACACTAAACATAATATCTGGATGAGATGCAGTGAGATAGAGAAGAGAACCTATCATACCTCTATACCTCTTTACATCGACAACCTTACCATTCTCATCTCGGTCCAAGTTTACACATGTAGGCATTGGAATGTCAATTGCTTTAGAGTTATCCATATTGAAGCGCTTGAGTAGGTCATTTCAATACTTCATTTGGCTCACGAATGTTCCTTCTTCGAGTTGTTTGGTTTGAAGTCTATGGAATTTCTAAAATTGTGGCACCATAGAAATCATGTGATATATGCATGAGAGGCGAGCAACCAAGATTGTCATTCTCATCAGAAATGCCTCCAAGAGCGACTCATGCTTTGGGTGTGGTGTGTTCTGATGTATATGGGCCTTTTGAGGTACCTTCACTTGAAGGGAACAATTATATTATGTCATTTATGGACAAGTTCACAAGAATTACATGGGTAACACTAATTAATTTCAAACATGAGGTGTTTACTGAGTTCACGAAGTTTAAAGTGATGGCCGAATATCAAAGTGGAAAAAGGTTGAAGATCCTCATAATCGATGGAGGAGGTGAGTTCAACTCAACAAAGTTTAAGAAGTTATGTGAGGAACATTGTATTGAGCATGAGATGAATACTACATACACTCCATGAAATAATGGTCTTGTTTGAAAGGAGAAATAGAATTGTGCTTAACATGACAAGGAACATGTTGAAGAAAAAGAATCAATCAAAGCAATTGCGTGATGAAGTGATTGCCACGTCAGCATATATGTGCTTAACCGATATCCAACAAAGAAGTTAAAGGAAGTAATTCCTATTGAAAAATGGACTGGAAGAAAGAAAAGTGTCAACCAAGACAAGGTGTTTGGTTCTGTATGTTACAAACATATACCAAATGTTATTAGAAGGAATTTGAATGACAAAAGCAAAGTCATATTGCTTATAGGTTACTATTTTACACGTGCTTATAAGCTCTATTGCCCAGTCACTAAAAAAGTTAAAGTTCGTTGAGATGTCATAGTGAAAGAATCAGAAACATGGGATTAAAGCAAGTCTCAATCCAAGTCTAGTGTAGTGTCAAAACTAGAGTCTAATTCTGCCTATGAAGGTGGAACTTTTGAAGGTAGAGCTTCTAAAGGTGGACCAACCTCTGAAGGTGGAACTTCAGAAGGTAGACCATATGAATGTAGTCTAGTCTCTGATGGTGGAACTTCTAAACATGGATCTTTTGAAGGTGATCCTACTTATGAAAGTTTCCAGAGGCCACAAGGAGTTAGACAGATACCAGGAGACTTGCAGACTTTAAGTTGCTACAAGATTCTGAGATTGACACTAAAGGGGAAGTTATATAGAGTGCCATCGTGATGGACTTCGAACCTGTCAACATCAATGAGGCTCTCAGGAAGAAATAGTAAGAGAATTCTATGAAGGAAGAGCTTATGGCCATTGAAAAAAGAGATGGTGAACAAGTTGCATTAAGTCTTGTACAGGTTGAATAAAGCTCCAAGGGATTGGAATCCAAAAATTGATTTATTTTTTAAGCATTTGGATTTCAAAAAATGTGAAATAGAATATGGTGTGTATGTGCAGCATACTTCTAACGACAATGTGATTCTGGTGTGTCTTTATGTGGATGACATACTTTTAACAATGAGTTGTATTTATGAGATAAACAAGTTCAAGAAGGTGATGATGAATGCATTTGATATGATTGACCTTGAAAACATGGTATATTTTCTAGAGATGGAGATATTACATTCGGAGAAGGGGACTATTGTGCATCAACTGAAGTATGAACTTGTGCTGTTGAAGAGATTTGAGTTGATGAATTATAAGTCAGCAGTCACACCTGCTGAGACAAATCATAAGTTGGACTATGATTATGATGATGAAGATGTGGATGCTACAACCTTTAAAAAATTGGTTGACTGTCGAAAATATTTGTGTAACATCAGGCCTGACATATACTATGAATTTGAAATGGTGAGTAGGTTTATGAGTAAGCTAAAGTGATCATATTACCAAGCTGCAGACAGGATTTTGAGGTTTGTGAAAGAAACTCTAGGGCATGGAATTTTGTTTTCATCTAGAGTGTCAGATGATGCTGAACTAATATGTTATTCTGACTATAACAAGTGTGGTGATAGAGTGTACATAAGAAACACTACAAGATACATTTATGTATATGGGAGCCCCCCATTTCTTGGTGTTCAAAGAAGCAACCAATGATTACGTTGTTAACTTGTAAAGCTGAATATATAGTTGGTGTTTTGTCAGCTTGTCAGACTGTTTGACGGATGAATTTACTGCAGAAATTGGAATTCGACACGAGTATAAAAATATCACATTATAATGGTTTGGAATAACATAAACAATCAAAGAAAATTTTATTAAATCAAAGGAATACAAACTCAATATAATTTACCACACTATATAGTACTGACTCCATATAACTCAAATGCTAATGGCATGAAACATCGATTGACTTATTAACAACGGAAGTTAAACTATTATCTAATATGAATGTGGCATATCGACCCCTAGTCCCCTCTACAAGAAACTATATTTTTCACAGTGATATTTTTAAGGAAAACATCTCTCTAGGAAAAAGTACATTTGCAATGACAAAATTCTTTGGAAATTTCTCCACTTTGCAAAAGATGGACAAGAAAGAATCCATGTTGTTACAACTTAACAAGATGACTGATATCCATTGGATATGCAAAAGATGGAACAAGACCAGTATAAGCCCTATTTGCAGAGGCATTATTGACCACCTCAGTTGGATGAAATTCATCAAAAAATGGACGCATGTTTCTATCCTTGCATGGTTCCTCATTAGGAACACACTGCCCACTTGGCCCCACTTTGCAACATATCAAATTCACCGTATCTGAAAGTTAAACCAACCAAAATTAATAATACATAAATCTGGAAAAAAAGTGATCGATTGAGTTATTATGAGAAGAGAAATGTTTAAATACCTAAGTTTAACCTTTCATCTTTCATGATAGAATTATTAATGAGGATGAACTTTGCATCAGGAAATATTATATTGAACCGCTCGACAAGGGATTTCAGTTGATCATTAAAAATTAGTGCTGCTTTAGTCTCCTCGTCAACACACGATTTTTTCCCATGTCTAATTATTTCATGCGGAACGCAACCGATATCCCCCAATCCAATCAGAGAAAACTTTCTAGCTCCAAGCTGATACAATGCCTTTAAATAAGTTGAATGTTCTTTGATCAGAGCTATAGCATAATTTTTAGCAGTATACTTAGCTTTAGTTGGATAATGTTGTGGCAGGAAGTAATTGTTAAGGTAATCATTGCTTCCTATATTCACATAATATAAGTACTTATTAAGGTGTTGTTGTACTTTGTCACTCCCAAGTTTCTTAGAAATCTGAGAAACAATATCTTTGTGATGTTCTAACTGCATTCCCATGCTGATATGTTGACCCTGCAACATTTCAACGAGATTACTAAATTTGTGTGACTGAGCCATATGATATAAACTTTCAATCCAACGCGTAGCATTGAATTACCATGTGTGTACCAGTCTCATTGCGAATTCCTGCTGCACCAGATGCATAATTAACACCTTCAACAATATCTTTACCGTTGGTATTTGCATAGGGTGGAATATAATGGTCAAATCCCAAAAGATCACCTGCAATATTAGAATTACAGGTTCAATATAAAAGATGCAAACTATGTATGTGATAATTTTTTGTCGGTTGATATATTACCGATTATATCCACAGAAGTTTTGCCATTGGTAAATCTTCCAGTAGGACCATCAGGAAAATCAACCCCATAAGGTTTGAAATTAGCTTTTGCATAGGTAGGAAGGTTATTGTTATTTCCATTATCTGATAAAGAATCTCCAAAAATGAAAAGACAAGGTACTTGAGGCTCTCCAACAACACAATAGATTGCACTGGAGAACAAAATAAGAATTACCAGACATGATTTAATCTCACAATCCATTTCAAATGTCATAAATCAAAAGTTAGTTATCACTTATGATCCAAAGTATTTTGAGTAACATACATATAGTGAGAGAGGATAGCTATATTTATCTTAAATAGTGTAAAATTAGAATGGCACAAATGAATTCTAACAATCTATAACGATTGAATGAAAATTACATGGATGCATGCAGTATTAGATAAATGACTGGAGCTTAAGAAAAACTGACAATTATAGACGTTTTATTTGGGCTACAGAATTTAGCATAAGTTTATTTATAGGCAACTATTGTTTTCTGCTGAAACGTTAGATATTTATAGCCACTAGTGAATACACCTACAATTTAGCACAAAATAACATTCTCACAAAGTGACATTATTTCACAAAATAATTATTTTTAAAAAGTGATTTAGCTTAAAAAAAGTAATTTGCTCTTTATATTTTCAGACATTATTTTTATAAAAAAATTTAAAATTGTAAAATTTAATTTAAATTCACTTTAATAAATTAAAAGATTAATTTTAATTATAAAAAGTTAAATATGCAATGTTGAATATAAAAATATAGTCAAAACCACGTAGCTTTTAAAAAAATTTTCAAAAATTATTTTTATGAAATGTTATTCAAAATATCATTAAATTATATTATTTTAAAAAAATTTTAACCATTAAAATTTTATAATAAAATGATAAAATATTTAAACTAGTGTTTAGAAGAAAAAAAAACCTATTTAAACCAACTTTTTTCTTTTTACAAAATTTTTTAAACAAAAATATGCCCGATTTGTTATAGTTTTTGTTTTGGTTCCAGATTAGAACATGTTTTAGGCCGGCCACGTCAATCCTAGCCAACTAAAAGGAAGAGTTCCCACCTCTTTATGGATTTTTCTAGCAAATGAAGAAAATCATCCTAATAATCACGAGAGATCTCAACTGAAAGTGCATCTAATGATTTTTCGCAAATCACAACTAATAAATAGCTAGTTCGTTATTTCCTTATCTATATATAGAAAATGCGCCAAATTGAGGTAACAAGTTTCAAATTCAATTTCATTTAACTCTTCTTCTAAACATACTGACTTGAGTGTTGGAGTGTTAATCTTGTAGGTCCTCAACTCCATCATATCAGAAGTTGCGATGTATCATCATTATCGTTCCTCTTCTTATTCCTAGTTTTAGAACGGAACATGTGCGCCATTTGTGGAAATCGACTTATGATTCCTTAATATTTCCACGAATTAACATTTTATCTCAAACTTCATAGTTCGTAACCTACTCCGATCACCGAAGCGAAAGCATTCACGATCAAACGTGAAGATCCATTATGTCTTAATTAGGCCAAGCATAATCTCAATTTTGTTTCCTAAAATTTCCAGATCTTCATTTCTTACAATTTTTGGTGATAGATGGATCTAAGGCTCCTAGATCTTACACTACGTGCGAAGTGAGACTTCATCACCTGGAAGAAAGCCTTCACAATTCTCCCTCCCGCAAAAATATAATCCAAGATGTTGCCTCGGCGAAGACTCGAGTTGTCATCCCAGAATTAGTCATGACAAAGAGAGAGAAACAAGGCTCATTGATCGAAGGATTAGCATAAAAGCGAGAAGCATAGAGCTCCCATTCAAAGACCCAGAGGAGACCGAGGCAGTCACGCTCCTTCCCTGGCTCAAGCAGAAACCCAGTAGAGAAAGGTGCAACCAAAAATCCTGATATGAGTAAGAACCTTGGAGAAAAAAATCCTAAAATCCATGGAGGAGTCATTCAAGCTAGGTGATTATGAAGGAAAAAGATATCCCAACGAGCTTGTACAACTCGTGAATAACCAACTAAGTTACTTCAACGTTGATGATGCATCCAAGTGAAATTAGTTTGAATTAAACTTGATTGGACCGACCCGATTATGGTTGAATGGTCAGCTTAACAGAAGTATCGATTCTTAGGCGGAATACTGCAAGATGTTTTATGCATAATTCATAGCCCATAATTGATGACCTGTAAATGAAGCTTCCCTTAGAATGATTATCTAGGAAAAGAAACAGAGCTTTTGTTATTACATAGATAGATTTACACAGGATTCGGTCATGGTAGAAAGGACCTAAGAAGGTCTTCAGTGCTGGATCTTTGAGAATGGCCTTCTGAGAAACCACCCCTTTAGGAAGATGTTAAGGAAAAATAAGGTAAAATTTGTCCAGGAAATGCTAACCATGGTCGATCCTTACATGTTCCTAGAAAAAAAGCTTACTACGTGGTTTGACAACCTAGCCTTTAATGAATCTCACTCCAATCATCAGGTTAGGAAGGAGTACCACCAGTGTTGAGATGACTCCAACCAGGGTAAGCTAGGAAAGTACAACAAGTACACTCCCTTGACGGTTTCTCGGGAGAAAATTTATCAAGATTGTACAAATAATGAGTTTTTAAAAGGGGGAATATGACATCCTTACCCCACCAGGGACACCTTAAATGGATTAATCAAAGTTTTTTCGTTTCCACTAGAGCCACGACCACAACATCAACGATTGTGTTCACATGAAAGATGCTATAAAAAGAGGTTGACAATCAAAATATGTAATTAGAGGGCAAGAGAGAGAGAGAGAGAGAGAGAGAGAGAGAGAGAGAGAGAGAGAGAGAGAGAGAGAGAGAGAGAGAGAGAGAGAGAGAGAGAGAGAGAGAGAGAGAGAGAGAGAGAGGGAACATCTAAAGTTAAGTCTCTTTAAAAAATTGTGCAGGCCGGTACAAACGGAGGGAATAAGGAGGTAGGCAAAGGTAAACACCCCTACATACTTACTGTAACCGGAGGAAGATAGCATAAATGATGGTTGTCTACCTCAAGGATAAAATTACATTAGAAAAAGTCCTCGATCGACCTAAGTAAGGATTCCAAGACTCAAAGAAGATTGGAGGCATTCCCAACTTACCCCTTATAATTGATGCTACATTTAGGAATTTCGACAAATATCGGATCCTCGTTGAGGGAAGTAGCTCTTGTGACGTCGTGGATTTAGAATTGTTCTAGAAAATGGGACATGACTGAAGTAGTTTATTGTCATATGAAGGCCGTGATATCTAGGTGTTTAATGAAACCATTACTCGTCCATAGAAATACGTGGAGCTAATTGTTTATGTTGGAAATAGAAAGGATATCTAGGCGGTAAATTCTTAATTTCTTGTTTTTCCATGCATGAGTGTTTACAACTGTATCTTGGGACAACCCTTTGTAGCCACATTGGATAATGTTGCCTTACCGGTGCACCTCAAGCTTAAATATCACAACCTGCAAGGAGAACCGACCACCATCAGTGCTGACTTAAAAGGAAAAAAAGAGATTATATCAGGCCCTCCACAAAGATCAAGGTGAAGGCATAGCCATGGAGATCAATGTCACTTCTCTCACTGGGAAACTCAACAAGATGGATATCCCTCCTCCAAAAAGTGGATAAACCGACCAAGAAGAGCGAAGGAATAAATGGAGGTTGGGCCGCCTGGTTATGTTTCCTATTCTTTGATAATATCGAATGTTATTCCTGTATCATTTACCTCTTGTATGCATATATATATATATATATATACATATATATATATATATATATATATATATATATATATATATATATATATATATATATATATATATATATATATATATATATATATATATATATATATATATATATATATATATATATATATATATATATATATATATATATATATATATATATATATATATATATATATATATATATATATATATATATATATATATATATATATATATATATATATATATATATATATATATATATATATATATATATACACTATGCCAAAAAAGACCTTTAGCAGCGCTTTAAAGCGCTGCCAAATGTGACGCTGCTAAAGGTAAAGGCAGCACTTTTTTTCAATGAAAAAGCGCTGCTAAAAGCTCCCTTCAGCAGCACCTTTAGCAATGCTTTTTTAGCCCTTTAGCAGCGCTTTTGTAACCGCTGCATAATTCCCCCAACCATCCCCCCTTTAGCAGCGCTTTAAAAAAGCGCTGTCTTAGACCCCCCCCTTTAGCAGCGCTTTTGCAAAAGCGCTGCCATAGCCCACCCTTTAGCAGCGCTTTTTACAAGCGCTGCCTTAGACCCCCCCTTCCAAACCAATAGCAGCGCTTTTGTAGCGTAATATTTGTGACCTTTAGCAGCGCTTTTATGTAAAAGCGCTGTCTAATGTCCTAGATTTTAAAATTTTTTTTTTATAAAATATTCACCCTGTTTTGTATATTTTACCAACAACCTGCTTATATTACACAAACCTGCTTATAATTAAGGCCTTTATTTCAACACTTTGGCCTTATAAATAAAATTCAAACTTTGGCCTTAAATATACCATTCAAACTTTGGCCTTATATGTACAATTCAAAACTTTGGATGTAACTCATGACTTTGTTCATAAACATTTTAATATACACATAAACCTGTTTAAATATGTTACAACAAAAATTGACACAAATACATTCAATTCTTAGAATTACAACAACACAAATACATTCAATTCACATATAATTACAAGTCTTCCAATCCGATAACTCTATACAATTCTCAACCCAAGAATAAATTGACACCATTCCTCTTTAATTTCTTCCAATTTTGCTTTCGTGTAAGTAGCGCACTTGAATTCATCATAATACTACATAATAAAACAGATCGAATAAGATTTAAGTTTAAAACTAATTACTCAGATGAAGTATCGAATAATTATCAAAATGAATCATATAACTTATATAATGAATTGATCCATACCAGGACTGGAATCTCAAGTTGACTAGAAAGAATAATTTCCCTCATAAAGCGCAATACAAAATATCCACAGTCAATACCATTACGCTGCCGAGGACACTGTAAATGGAAAAAACAAACGAACATTTATCCGGATATGTAGTTGAAATAGTTTTATCAAGTAGAAACATGCGAGAATATACCTCTACTCTGATCCAGTTGATGTTGTTAGCCTTCCTTTTTGGCACCGTTGCATCTCTTTGTGCTC